ACTACCTTCTGCTTGAGGCAGGATGTTTGACACTCCTTTTATTATGGCTCTTGATAACAACAGCCAAACCCCAGTTTACAAATCTCACTTGGACTGGGGACATCGAAGAGGTTTAACTCAAAACTTGGGTTTGCAGGAAGTGAAAGGACACCAACTTTTTTAGGTTCGCTCACATTTGCCTTGAACTCTGAGCAAGACAAAGCGGGTTTAGCAAAGGAGAAGCATTTCTTTCTTTCAAAGGAATTGGGACCAAATGGAAAATTTTAAGGGGAGAGGAAAGAACCTCCCGAAACCGTCAGATGTCTTATTGGGATGTTGCTGCCATTCATCACCTGTGTGTCTTCACTGCTGGTGCCTGTGGAGTTTTGTTTCAGCTTAGTGCAGTAGGGTCCTGTGTTGCTGCAGAGCTTCTGGGAATGTGTCTTCACTTCTGCTTTCATTTTCTGTTCTAATTGAAGTTGTCTCACTCCTTTGGCATCTTGCTTAGGTTCCTCAGTCCAAATAAACTGCTCTGAAATTCAGCCAAAAGACCTTTCTTTTATACATGGACAATCCTGGAGTGCTAATGGGTATTTTTTCTCCTATCCAAGCTTATTATCCTTTAAGAAGTAAATTTGAATTGTGATTACAAATCAAATTGAGGACATCCCTGCTCATTGCAGGAGGGTTGGACTAGATGACCTTTAAAAGTCTCTTCCAAAAGAAACCATTCTGAGATCTCTGTAATGCTTCCAAATCTCACTTCTCCTGTGATAGAACTTTCATTCTTTTGGATGAAAATAATTTTAGAGAAATTTTGCACCTTGCACCTTCCCCACACCAGATACCTGGGTGCATAAATCTGTGTTTTGGGTACCACCTCCTCCTGCACTTGCACACGAGGTTCTTTGAGAGGTGCCCACATAAGTGATTAAGTGGCAATAATTATATTTCTCTCCCATCAGCAAACAGTGGGAAGGGAAAAACACAGCATGGAAAAGGAAGATGATAAAAGGAGAGGGTTACGTGTTATGCAGATTCTGAAAGGAACTGACATGTGGTGCAATGACAACCGAGAAGTTGAGCTTCCACCTGGGTATTCCTCCTGTGTGTTGCTGGCACGGATGTGTTGGTCTGGTGTCAGTTTTGGTGTCACCAAGGTCTTATTTTGGGTACCAGCAGCACGGGGCTGAAGGCTGCTGCAGGAGAAACATCCAGAGACCTCTTGTGCCCATAGATTCAGATTAAGCAGTGAAGTATGTTTGGACTGGCAGTTTCTTTATCAGATTTTATAAGTTTGTCTGTACCAGGAATTACTGCCCTGCACAGTGTGTGTTGGGAGGTGCTGGTAGATGGATAAATCCAGGCTGTCCTGAGAATGGAACCCTGAGGACTGGGAGGAGGATTGGGAATGGGGAGAAAGCTTCCCTGTTTCTGTAGTCCTTTGCCAGCTTAGGGAATGTTATAATAAACTCAGTGAACTTTGCTTCCAGAATTGCCCCTTTAGCAGCCTCAATGCTGACACTGATCCCTGTTTTTTCCAAATCACTCGGTATTTGGCAAACTCTGCACATGATTTCAGGCTTTAGCTGTCACAGATTATTTATGCCGGCTTCGGATGCTTCCAGTGGACAGTTTGTTTTGGATTTTTGCCACATGCTGCTAATGCTGTCCCTGAAAATGAACATATTGAGGCTGGTCTTTCTGCATGTGTATTAAACTGTGATCATGTAGCAAAAGATCACATAGAATGTGAAAATCAACCAGTATTTACATGTTTAGAGTCTGTACAAAGCCTAATTGGCAATCAAAGTTTTAGTCCTTTTCTGTCAACTTGCTAATAATCAGATGATTAGTGTCAGTTTTATCAGGACACTCTGAGCCTTGCCCTTGGAAATAGTAATTGATTTTGTTATGTAGGAGAGCCCAAGTAATATAATTAATTTGTAACCATGTTTGGAGATTGTGCTTTTTTATGTTGGAAATAAAATTATGTTAGTGTAGTAAAATTGAGTAAATTCAGCAATCAGAATTAATTTGAGAAGAATCTTCATTTAAACATGGAAAAGGTTATAGAAAATATTAGGCTGAAAGTATATGGTCAGAGGGCTGGAGCTAGGCTGGGAGAGCTGGGGTTGCTCACCTGGAGAAGAGAAGGCTCCAGGGAGAGCTCAGAGCCCCTTCCAGGGCCTGAAGGGGCTCCAGGAGAGCTGGGGAGGGACTTTGGAATGACAGGACAAGGGGGAAATGGCTTCCCACTGCCAGAGGGCAGGGATAGATGGGATGTTGGGAAGGAATTCCTGACTGGGAGGGTGGTGAGGCCCTGGCACAGGGTGCCCAGAGCAGCTGTGGCTGCCCCTGCATCCCTGGAAGTGTCCAGGGCCAGGATGGACAGGGCTTGGAGCAGCCTGGGCTAGTGGAAGGGGTCCCTGCCCATGGCAGGGGTGGAATGAGATGAGCTCTAAAACCTTTTCCAACTCACACCATTCCATGATTCTGTATTGACTTCAAATGCCAGAAATGTTTTCTTTCATAGGCATGCAGAGTCCATTAATTTTTGGCCACAGTGTTCCCAGGAGTTTGTAATAGGCAAAATGTATAAATGACTGAATTGTGGCATCATTTTTACATGTTCACCTGTAAATGTAAGCATGTAGCGACTCAAAAGGCCTTTAATTAAAATATTGCCTTGAGCAAGTATTAATGGGTGGCAAAGTAAAAACTTTGTGTCCTTCTTTTCATGTTCCCATTTAATTTTTTATGTGTAAATGTAAAAATAGTAATTTTTTAAGTCATGTAATAGCTAATACTGCAGCCTGCTGGAATGGTTGTCATTAAGAGAACCTTTCTCCCTGTTATATGCTAATTACCTTAGGATGCATATTTCATTGCATTAATTTCTCCAAAATGCTTCAGAAAAGCCAACTGCATGCACAAGGTGTGTTGGATGCTGAGCCAGAGCCAGGCTCAAATGCAGCAGGGCATGGGAGACCACAACCAATTAACTTCATTAACACTGCTTTGACCTCCCTCAACATTCCGAGTCATGTCTGGGGTTGTTACCAGTAAACCCTGTGGCACCCCTGGGATTTATAAGGCTCGAATTAACACCCCTTTGCTTTCTGATCTGGAAGCTTCTGGTCTTTGAGTGGTTTTGTGGGGAGGACTTGGCTCTTCTACGTCCCCAGAGTTGCTGAGGCTTTTAGCATCTCCATGGGGTTCACGCTTGGCTCGCATCCCTGCTGGATTCATGTTTGGATGCAGAAGGCACAGGTGTTTGTTGTTACACCAATTCCATGCAGAATAAACATCTCTAGAGATGGGTGGGTGGGGTAGAACGGCCTGGTGCTTTATAGCGTATTTATTGAGTGTGCAGGAGGGAGGAGGCAAGGTCAGTTTGCTCAAGGTAACCAACTTAAAGTCCTGTGTGCACTTTTCACGTGAGTCAGCAGTCTTGGATATGCTCTGATAACATCAATAAAAACAGCCATCCCTCTTGGCCTGAGCTTTGAAGTAAAATCTGGACGAGGAATTATCAAGCTTAAGTGTAGTGGAGGGTTTGTTCCCCCTTCTTGATGAAAAGCTGATGCTGGAGTTGCAGAGCTACACAAAGCAAGCCCAACCCAGCACTTCCCTGACATCATCCCTGTTGCATCTGTGCCTGTAGTAAAGCCATAGGAAAGCAGCTGGAACACTTCCCGGTGTATAATGTATGTCCTGCTACCAAGCAATGCGCCATGAATCCCTGCCAGATGTATTTCACTGGGACATATTAATTTCTGTGCTTTGAAGTGCGCGTGGCTGGGGATAATATACTTAATGAAATATTGGAGCGAGAAACAATACACCATAAAATAGTGCTGTTCGTTTGAGGGCCTCAGAAATGAAACAGTTCTCCAAATCCCAGCCTTGGAGTGGATGTAGAAGATGAGGGTGGCTTGGACTGAAGGTTCTGGATCTGGAAACTTGTGGGAGACTGCAGGAACAGGGTGATCAGTGAAATGCTTTCCCTGAGTATTCTTCCCAGCATCAAATATCTGAAGTTCCCTAAACTGTTATGGGTTTTGACTTCATGTTTTTTGACCTTTCTTGAGCATTTTGTTGATGCCATGGGGGAACTGTCATAGTTACGAGGTCTTGCTCCAGTGGGGCAGTGCTCAAGGAAAAGCTCAACATTACAAATAATGTTAAGATGTGCATCATGTAAACTTTAATCTGTATAAAGTGTCACTGCCACCTGATTGCCCAAATCCTGGTTCTGAGGGCCCTGTTTTTCTCCCTAGTTCCCTTTTTTCTTTCTATTTGAATAACTCTTAACATCTTCCAGGGCAGTTTGGAGTTTGTTAGGACTGGTGGAGACCTGGGGCCGTGTAACTCTGGTTTTACTTTTATTTGGAGCTGCTGGTGGTGTATTATCTTCTTGTAGCGGTGAAGTTTGAGAAATCGGCCGCACATTTGTTGTTTCAGTGCCAGAGATAGAGTTTTGTTTGGTTATAAGAAGTACAAGAGAAATAAAAAGTGCAATATACAAATGAGTTGGTTGCAATAATTCATATCCAGTGTAAGATATGGACATCTCTGAAAAAGGGTGACTTGGTGGGGGAAAAAGTGCTGCTGATTAAATCAACGTGGCTTCAAAATCCCCCAGACAGGATGGAAGGAAGTTTATCTCCACTGACACAGGACCGTGGAAAAATGTATCTGTGGCAAGGGCCAGGTGTGCAGGGGAAGGTGATGGCCATTTTGTTTTAGCAGCTAAAATTTGTGGGTGCTGAGTACCACACAGAGATTGATTCAGGAGGTTGCCTGGTGTGTTGCTCAGAAAATTTTCACTGAAAATTAGAGGGTCTTTCTGATACCTCAGACTGGGGGCAAAATTAGCAAAAGTTTGAGGTGCTGGGGGAGTTACATCTGAGTAGTGTTTTGTGTGTAGTGTTTGGGTGTTGAATACCTTTATCTGTTGCAGCTTTGGGGTATTTGTAGAATAGCACCTAACCTGGTTTGATTTTGGCTTTTTTCAGCCTTGCTAACGTGATGACCTGACAAGATACAGCGCAGTTCTGACTATGCAGCACAGGGACTGATGGGAAAGGATCCAATATGAGTGTAAATGATGTTGGAGGCAGACGACGCTTTGAGGATAGCGAGTACACGCTGCACATCTACCCCGGGAGCATCGCAGAGGGGACAATCTACTGCCCCATCACCGCCAGGAAAACGTCCACGGCCGCCGAGGTGATCGACTCGCTCATCAACAAACTCCAGCTCGAGAAAACAAAATGTTACGTGTTGGCCGAGGTGAAGGAGTTCGGAGGAGAGGAATGGATCCTCAACCCCACAGACTGCCCAGTGCAGCGCATGATGCTGTGGCCGCGCATGGCGTTGGAGAACCGCATCAGCGGCGAGGATTATCGCTTCCTGCTGCGGGAGAAGAACCTGGATGGCTCTATCCACTACGGGAGCCTCCAGTCCTGGCTGCGGGTAACCGAGGAGCGGCGCAGGATGGTGGAGCGCGGCTTCCTCCCCCAGCCCCAGCAGAAGGACTACGATGACTTGTGCGGTCTGCCGGACCTGAACGAGAAAACGCTCCTGGAAAATCTCAGAAACCGCTTCAAGCAGGAGAAAATCTACACCTACGTTGGCAGTATCCTCATTGTTATTAATCCCTTCAAGTTCCTACCTATTTATAACCCCAAGTATGTAAAGATGTACGATAACCATCAGCTGGGGAAGCTGGAGCCCCACATTTACGCTGTGGCAGATGTGGCTTACCATGCTATGCTCCAGAGAAAGAAGAACCAGTGCATCGTGATTTCAGGAGAGAGCGGCTCGGGAAAGACACAGAGCACCAACTTTCTGATTCATCACCTCACCGCCCTCAGCCAGAAGGGATTTGCCAGTGGAGTAGAACAGATTATTCTTGGAGCTGGCCCAGTGCTTGAGGTAAGATGGAAGTGACTGTAGTGTGGAAATGTTTTAACAGTGAAAAAAACCCCAAACCTGAGTAGTTGGGGTTTTATTGTGACACTTGCTCTCAAGTTATCTGCTAAATAATGATAATAAAGTCACAACAGCGTTAGCAATGAGAGAAGGTTGTGTTTCCACCTATAGAATCCTACCTGCTTCCAAAAAAAGAGGAGAAAAATAAAAATGCAGCAGATGGCTTGCTGCCAAATTTGTTAATGCTTTGTTTTCACTCAACTGTTTCTTAATGCTGGTTTATCTCGGTGGTTTCTCAGTGGGAAAATGGAAATGAGAATTATCAGTAGCCATTTGCTAGTATATTGAAACAAAAATTCATTGCACATGATGTATTGATAATGTTGTATTTATGGAATTTCTATGCACTCAGCTTCTTTGAGCTGGGGAAGAAATCAAAGATAACTCTCATGGTCAAAACTGTGTTTTCTAACCGTGAGTGCTTGATTTTGCCACTTATTGTTTCCTTTATGGGGACTCTTCCTGTATATTAGAAGTTAAGTATACTGGGCCATTGACTTTTCAGGTATGTCCTTGGAAACCATGATGCATGGAAGTGGTTTGGTGGCTGCATCCTCTCCCTCTCCCTTCTCCCTCTTCTTCCCTCTCCCTTCTCCCTCTTCTTCCCTCTTCTTCCTCTCCCTTCTTCCCTCTTCTTCCCTCTTCTTCCCTCTTCTTCCCTCTTCTTCCCTCTTCTTCCCTCTTCTTCCCTCTTCTTCCCTCTTCCCTTCTCCCTCTTCCTTCTCCCTCTCCCCTCGAGAAAACATCAGACCAAGCACCCATAGTCTGCAATTAATAGTGGTTACTGTGGTGACCCACACTGGTGACCACATTAATTTCAGAAAACTGGTTTGGAGACTATTGCATTCCACCCCCAGTCCTGTTACTCCACCTGCAATCCTGTTATTTATTTGAAACACTTCCATGCTCTTTAGTTTCTGATACGTTGGTTAATGTGTCATGTTAGACCAAGGTCGTTTTGTGGTTCTCTTTAGCGGTGTCAGAGGGAGCATCTCTGTCCAGGTTAGATTTCCAGAGGTGGAGAAGAGAGATCTCCATGGAAAGGTGGGGAATTGGTTTTTTCTTAGATTCTACTTTTCTCAGGAATAGGTTGTCTGCTTGCTTGGCTCTTGGATGGTGGCCACTCACTTCTCCTGGGGACCCTTCACAGAATGATTTGGGTCTGAAGGGATCATCCCATTCCACCTCCTGTCATGGGCAGCAACACCTTCCTCTACCCCAGGTTGCTCCAAGCCCCATCCAGCCTGGCCTTGGACACTTCCATGAACAGGGCTTGGAGCTTCTCTGGGCAGCCTGTGCCAGGGCCTCCCCACCATCACAGGAAAGAATTTCTTCCTAATTTTTAATCTTCTTTTCCTTTAAAAAGCACCTTTGTAGTTCCTCTCCTTGGCTCCCTTTCCAGTAGATGAGGTTGCTTGAAGCCCCAGTGTCTGGCGGGTTGTATGTGTTAGGATGAGGTGGAGGGCAGGGATGCACTCCAGCCTTTTGTTTTCCTTTCGCAAGATCTGCAGCTGTTTTTGAGGGGAAAAAAATCCTGAATCCTATCTGTTATATTTTTTTTTTGCTGTTGGAACAGAAGTTTGCATTCCTTCGCTCCGGCAGCTGGACGGCTGCTGTTGTGCTTTGTCTGCTTCCAGGCCTCTTGGAAAAAGTGGGAGTAACCCAGAATTTCTTCTGCTCTGCTAGCACCAGTACCAAATAGTCACAAATCAGGCAGCCTGAAAGATAAAGTGGCTATATTTCTGCTTTTCCTTCTCATCTTAGAATTTCCCAAGAAGGGGATCTTTAGAGCAGAGCTTTGGGTTTTATTACTCTGCAAACTGATTGCAGATTTGACCTTTTGAGTTGTGGTCGAAATAAATTGAATAAACTCTGGAAGTGTAGACACCAAACTTTTGGGAATTTTTTTTTTCTTCTTTTCTTTTGTGCTTCTCCTCTCCTCCAGACACCTTCTGCATTCCCTTTGCTTTCCCTTTTCATATTTAAGATCAGATTGTGTTCAGCTCAGGTTTGTCTTTTAGAGGCAGCGACACAGCTCTTTGTGCTGCAACTTCTGTTTTGGGGAATGGAGCAACCAACAGCTCACTTGGATCTGTTGATCTCTTTCTCTGCTTGAAAAGTGTCTCTGGCAGGACAAGTGCATGGAACCTCCTGTTCCTGGGAATGCCTTTGCTGTCATGGTCACACAGCAGGAGCGGAAGTGGAGCAAAATTAAGATTTTTTTTTTTTTAGCTTCTCTGTTTTTCTAATTTACCTTTCTTGAACAGCTTCAGGCTATTGTTTGGGGTTTTTTTGGGTTTTTTTTTCATTTTTTTTTTGTTGCACAAGATTCCTGAGTCTTGTCCAAATTGGACTTCTGGGGACAGCAAAGACAAGCTGTTACTGCCCTCTAAACACAGTGACATCATTCACTAGTTGCACATAGTTTGAAGTGTGTACCGAGACCAGGCGTGTCCTTTAAAAGTGTATTTGCTCTAAATCCTATGGATTTTCTTTTTCCTTTGCTGGGATTTAATAGGAAAATTTTGTTGTAGTGAGGTTTCTTGGAATGGTTGCAATATGCATTTATTTGGTGATAAATGATAAGTTAAAATATTTGCATATTTATGTATTATTTGTCATAAATCATATTCCTTAAACACCATACTAATTTTTCCAATAACAAGATTCCAATTTTTTTAAAAAACAGGTGATTTTCTTTATATTTTTTTCTCAGTTTTCACCCATTTTTTTCTAAAGCTATAAGAACTTGCTTCTTCAGCAGAGCTGAGCTTAAGATGTGCCAGGGGAAGTTTAGGTTGGAAGAATTTCTTCACACTGGAGAAGATGTGGCTGCCCCATCCCTGGAAGCATTATTCAAGGAGAGGAGAGGTTGCACAACTAGGTCTGGTGGAAGGTGTTTCTGCCCAGGGCAGGGGGTTGGATTAGATGACCTTTGAGGTTCCCTTCTGATCCAGATCGTGCCATGGTTCAATTTATGCTCTACCTGGACAACTGTGCTTTATCCCTGGGTATATTTTATCCCAAATCTGGGGAACTTGATGTGAACTTGGAATGGTGTTTTAAAACCCTGTTTTCTCTTTAGATTAGCTAGAAACATCCAGATGAACTTTATGTTGGAATCCCAGCTTGTTTTTCTGGAGCGTAGCCCTTAGAGGTGAGATGTGGATGGGATCATTACCTTGTACTGGTGCATGGTTCAGGCTGTGAGCATCCTCCATCCTCCTGAACCACGCTTCAGCTTTCTGGGGAGCTCAGTTAATTTATAGCATCTTGCCAATTTCTTTTTTAATTCTGCATAAAACTGCAAAAGTAGGAAGTTCCTCCCTGGCTCAGGTATGCCCAAAGGTCCTCAGACAGGTATTGAATGAACCTTGGTCTAAAGGAGTCTGCACCAGATTATTTTTCCATCAGTCCCTTTCTCAGCATCTCGTTTGGCACAGGGGTACAGCCATGGCAGCTAAACACAGCAGATGTGTTGTCTGAGCAGCTGTTTATTTGCCTTTTCAAACATCCCAGTGGGGATCTCCCAGTTGCTTTAAAAAAAAGAAGAATAAAGCTAAGAGCTATGTTCCTGGGAGAGGCCTCGGAGCACAGGCGGTGGCCAAGGGGAGCTGCTGCTGCCCTTCACAGCTGATACGCATCTGCAGCATCTCTGCCAGAAAAAAAAAGGAATTGATCGCTTGAATTGCTTTGGAAAGAGCTGCAGAGAGCTTTCTGTAGACATGGCCCTGCTATTTGCATTCCCAGTGGTGGTGGCTTGCACAGGAACCTTAGGAACAGCAGCTGGAGCTGCTTTTTGGTTTCTGGAGCAATATTGTGCAATGTGTGTTTCGCTTTTGTGGGGGAAGTCAGAGTAGCCACCTGAAGGCCTGGGAAGCTGAAAGCCATTATTTTTTCTTATTTCTTTAATCCTGATTATGGGATTGTTAGAGGGAAGTGCAGGCAGCATCTATCTGTTGAATATTATTCTCCAGGACCTTGTGCTAATGCGCGGGGTCCTCCCAGCTGAATTCAGCCCTGGCAGCTGGAGCTGTGGCCCTGCGAGGTGTGAGCAGAACGACTCCACACTGCTGGAATTGCAGTGGATGCTGCTGAATGTTTCCAGAGCCAAACAAAGAGCCATTGAGTCAAGTTAAAAAAATCAATTAACTGGAATGATCAGGCGTGTCCTGGACTTGCAGTAGGTTCGGGTAGCACTGGACAATGCAGAGGGGTGAAAGCTCCCTGTGCATCCAGCCTCCACTGCTTCTCCTGTGTATGCCAGACCTGGAGTTATCCGAGGTAGGACCGAGCTCCACTGGCAGATCCCACACTCTTAACTCCTGTACTCTGGAACCAGGGTAAGAGGATACTTGATTTGTATAAAAATTAGGGTGCCATTATTTGCCTGTGAGAAACGACATTTGCAAACGGGCCATATTCATATTTTTACCTGAAACAATGCTAATGGGATACATTAGCATTGGTACACTTTGGGACACAGTGGTAAACTTTGACTATATTCCCTTTTTTGTCCCTATTCCTGCTTGAAACAGTATTGATGGGAAATAAAATGTGGGTATATTTACATTTTTATTCCCTACTTGGAACAGTATTAATGGGAGGTAAACAAATTCCATTAAAATGGTGTGATAGTTTGACATTGGTTGATATTTAGGGAAAGAAGAAACACTTAACAAAAGAAATAGATTCTCTGATTTGGTTCACAATGTTTAGTTTCCAGTACACTGATTTTTAAGTAATTGGGTTGTATCGTGTGACTCTAAAAGTTTTATATGCAAAAAAATGGATTTATATGAAAGGGAGAGGGAAGATACATTTTTCTGCTCATTATTCACTTTTGATCATTTTTAACCTATGACACGGGCAATTATCAGTGCTCTGCCATCTGAATTTGGGGTAGGTGTGAATGCTGCAGCCAGGATTTTTTCCCTCTGCAT